TAGTTTTGGAATTGGATTGATTTTTGGTGAATTTCTATTATTTTTTTCACTTGGTTTGATTTCAATTTTTTTCTGAAAATTTTTAGGTTTGGATTGAATTTTTCGTTGAAAATTTGAAATTTTCAGTGGTTTTTACAACAATCAAGGGATTATCAGTAGTTAAAATTTTAGGTTGTTTCTGGGCTTGTATTGAATTTTCGGGCATTCTTTAAATTTTTTAGTGTCGAAATCTGAAATTTTGAGCGATGGTCTTGAATTTCACAATGGGTTTAGAAAGAAGTTTGAGAGGATTTTATCGAGAGAGAGAGAGAGGAGAAACCAATTTTAAGAAAAACAACGGATTTTTTTGCTTTTATACAACACTAAAACAACACAATTTTGGAGAAGGCTCTGACCCGCGTGTAGGCTCGCTTGCCAACTCGTGTGAAATCCGACCCTCAGTGTTTTATCCAATTCCAGTAGCCATCTCTTAAGCCGAGCGAAGCCAAACTTCCAGTCCTTGCAACCTGTTTTCTCTTCTTGTAACCAAGCCATCATCAATTCTTTTGGTTTTTTTTTATTTTCTTTATTTAATTTATTTGATTTAAATTTTGTTTATTTTAATTGATTTTTCTAAAAAAATAAAAGGTTTTCAAAATAAATTCATGAATCTTATCAAATTATTAAAAAATTTTATAAATTTAAAATTTTTATTATGAATTTTATCAAATTATTGAAAAATGTTATAATATAATTTTTTTGAAAAAAAAAATTTATAATCTATCAAATTATTGAAGAATTTAAATATCAAATTGAATCTTATCAAATTATTAAAAAATTTAACGACTTTTTTTAAAAAATCATAAATAAATTTTCAAATAAAAATCTCACTAAACTATTAAAAGATGTGCATCAAAATAAAATTTTATCAAATTATTGAAAGATTTTATTGTTTATTTTTTAAATATATATTAATGAATCTGACACCAAAACTTCGAGATATTAGTCTCTATGAGTATTTTTACAGTAAAAAAATTATCTTAAATTAGTATCAAATTATTGAAGTAATTTAAAATTAATTTTTAACAATTAAATTATTTGGTAAACTATAAAGATGTTCAATATTTGAATAATTTAAAATCAAACTGATATCATCTTTTGAGTGGACGTTATGAGAATGTTATAATTTTTTCACGTATAACCGAATTTTTATACTTAAATCTGGTGTTATAGATTAGAATCTAATTTTTTAAGATCCTCCAAGTTAATCCCAAACTTGCATTTTAAAATAAAATAAATTTAATTAAATGATTAATTATACTTAAAAATAAAATATTAGTGTTAATTTCTTAAATTTATATCTAACAATAAATTCATAGATTTATAAGTTGTGACACAAGGACTAGTTTTAAACTCCATATTTGAAATCCTTTTAGATCCTTTTTCCCTTGGATTTTTTGTTGTTTTATTTACTTTATTATATGATTCTTCCCAATATTCTGGGTTTAATTTTTTTTGGCCAATTATGAGTTTAAACTTATAAACAACCAGAGCATGGCCTCTTTTGATTAAACTGATTTAGAGAAGAAATCTCTTTAAGATTGACCTGAAACATGACAAAGAAAAAATCAACACAAATCAACCATTTGTGTGATCCTAATGGTTGTGCCGTTCTTAAGCGTGCAGGTTCAGTCCAGTGGCGTAGCCACCATATAATGGATCCCACTCAACTTTTAAAAATTAATAATATACATATAATTAGTATTTAAAAATTAGAATTTTCTCTCTATTGATACCACTAAAATTTATTTTAAAAAAAAAAAAATTTCATCTTCACTTTTAAATTCATTTTAATTTGACATTTTTATAATTTTCTTTCCCTATAAGTTTAACTCATGAATTTAAAAATTTTTAGCATGTATTTTTATTAATTTTTTATTAATCACATATTTAGTTTTATTTTAATTTTGATTTTTTATTTATTTTTTATAAAAATTCTTTCTTCATTTTGTTGTCATCACATTTATTGACTATAATTTTTTTCCTTATGAGTTTGATCCAATTTATAAAGGATTGGTTTGATATATTTACTGTAATAATTATTTCATACATGTTAAGTTATTCAATAGTATAAATTTAATTTTATTATAAAATAAACAAAAAATATTATATCATCTATCTAATTGCATTTTTTTTAACATTTTTATTTACATGACAAAAAAATGAAAAAAAATTATGTAGCATCGATAATAAAGCCATTGAAATAAATTTTCAGAATGACTTATAAGAAAATATGAATTTATTTAAAATTTATATTACATAGTGCAATACGTTTTAGATTCAATTTTGTCAATATTATATTATGTAACAAAATATTATAAACAAAATAATATTATAATATTGACCACACTAACGCAAATTTTTGGCTTCACCACTAGCTCACTCCCTTATAAACACGTCTGCTCTCTTTTTTTTTTTTTTTTTAAATTAGCAACTCTCCGCTAATTGATAATCTTGTTCTTCCCTCATTAATGTGTATAGTGAATTTCGTTTCAGTTTGTTCATCTTTATGATAAAACCTCCATTATTTTTTGAATATTTCCCACGTTGACATATATTTCCGTCAATATTTATAGCTATATATCCAGGCTTTAAAGATCCAACATCCACACTTAGCTACGTTTTATAACCAAGCCTCTAAAAATTCAGTAAATTTTCCACCACACAATCCAAATGAATTTATTGGTTTTTTTTTTTTTTCTTTTTTCTCTTGATTTGCTGCAGGGGCCTCTATCGGTTGTTTCCATTAAAAAAATCAAGTTTTGGTGGGCTTTTTAACAGTAATGGGATATATTTTGATATTTGTGCTTTTAAAAAAATTTGAAGATTGACCTTCGGCTGCAGGCCTAAAGCCTTCAAAATTTACAACCCAAGTTCAATTGAAGGACGCTATTTCTTTACAGCCCAAATATAAATCTTTTTTCTTCAATTTTTCAAAGAAAAACTACAACCAGAAAAGACACCATGAAAGATGCTTATTCTGTTTTGAATTTTTTTTTTCCTTTTTTAGGTACTAGTGTAGGGTAGAAGTGGAAGTTCCAAATATTAAAATTTGAACTTTAAATCAGTTAAATATCAGTCTAAAAGAAAATGCATAAATTATCTAAACTAAACTTCATTTTTTTTTCGTTCTTAAAGGCAACTCACCAAAGGAAAAACATTATTATTATAATTATATATATCATCCTGAAAAATAATGGCGCAATCGAAATCTAAAGTTCAAATATAATTCAATGGTGTTTCAATCGTTGTAATTATGCAATTTTTGTTACTAATGAGAAATCATTACAATATCAGAAATGTTACATTATCTGATATATTCAAACTTTTATGTAAACTGAAAAGAGAAGGCAGAGACCCCAGGCATTGTTTTTTTTTTTTTTTGGACTGTACATTGTATTATGGGTAGGTATAAGTTTGTTTGTTTGTTTGCAACTTTTGTCATTGTTTTTTTGTCTTTTGGCACTTCATGTCATGGATCTTGAAATTCTTGAAGTTAAACTTGAATAATTTAATCATATGATTAATAACGAATTGATTATTTTTTTTCACCAAGCTAAAGGTATCAAATAGGTTAGACGATTTATGATACGATATGATTTCACACAATATAGATAATATTTGATATAATTTGCTGTTAAATAATCAGATTGAATTAAACACATACATATATTATGTCTTGCTAAATTAAAAATTTTTAAGTTTATTGGTCAACACGGCATAACCCATTAAGAGTCAATGCTTACACATGACACGTGGGTATAATACACAAGCTCAAATGTGTTGTGTCATCTAAGCCCATAACTATAATAAATAAACAAATATATATATATATATATATAAATTGTAATTGTAAACTAAAATGAGGGATTGGTCCTCTAAAAAAAACATATGGAAAAACACAATGTCGTAACTACCGCTTTTAATAATTTCACATAAATTATATTTAATCAACAATTTAATGAGTTTTTAGGTGTTTTATTTTTCACAAAATAATTAGTGTAATCAATTAACTAAATTTATAATTGAATAGTATACTATTCAATTATAAAATAATTTCAAGAAACACTATTAAATCATATACTTTTAAAATATTTTTCTTATAAAAAAATTAAAATCTAATTTATCCAAAATTTCCTTTAAAATTTCACTTATTGGACCAATAGACAAACCCTTAATTATATGTGTATTATTGAGCATTGAATAGATTATATGTATGTTTTTTTTTAAATATTATTGTTATAATTTCAATGTTTTTATTCAGTAAACTCTATTATTATCTATCTCTATGAATGTAAATATTTTGCCAAACCATATAAATTATGTATTTTTTTTATTTCATACTATATTTATTATATCTTGCTTGTTATTTTTAATAATAAGAGATGAAAATTTTTTAAAAAATAATTAAAATTTTGAAAAAATAGTAATAGCCCTGTGCTTGATTAACTCAACACAAAAAATAATATTGTGCTCGACATACATGACCTACAAAGATTATGGGTCATATACTGTGCTAGACCATACACTTAATTTTTATAGACCATACCGATATGACACGTTAAAAAAAAAAGAATACTAAAATGACACAATTTATTAATATATAAATTAATATTTAAATAAGTTATGCCAGCCCAACGCCGGACCCATTTAATACTTCTACATAAGACTGCAATTTTTCAATTCCTTGATCAGTTGCAAGTTGAATATTTCATTGGAATTTCCTTTGTGGGTAAAAATTCCAATTAATTTCCTTGATTAATCAGTTACTTCTATACGAATACGAGGAACATAACAAACTGAGCTAATCACGTGTTATTCTAAAACATTTGCAAAGACCCGCATGTCACCTACCCAATCTCCAATCAAACTTTCGGGATGGGTCATTGAACAAGGAAGCATGAAAAGATGGCGTCATCTTCGTTGCCGAACTAAAACAAGTAGAGGGAAACTTTCGACTGTGTGGTTCAAGACATATTTCTTTTGCACAATTCATGGCCATATTCGAGTACCGTGTAAGGACAATTATCAATTATCATCAATACCATTTGATAAAAATTTCTCTCCTTTTCTTTTTCCTTAAATTTGTTTGTCTACTTTTTTCTGTTTTTTCTCACCTCTTGTCGAGCATGAAAGGCTAGTGTTGGAAGAGATTGGGTCCCTCAGACTTAAACATGAGCCACGTCAACATGAAATAACTGAACAACATAGACCGCAAGGGCCAAAGGCGTGGGGTCCAATTTCCTGGAAATGCCGAATCCCATAATAAATCAGCTAATTTTGATTTTGATAATCTAACCACATTCCAAGGTGGATTTTGGCCTCTCCTCTGCTGACGACGATCCACTTCATTCCGTTTTGGCACTTGCCACATCTAAACAAACCAGGAATGATCGGAATCTATGCAATTTCAAATCTGAAAGCAGCCACAAACCCTAATCTCCTTCCTGCATCAAGAAACACTATTAGAGGCGAGTCTCACATGGCGTCAGCATTTTTGCCATTCTTGGGAGAAAAGGATTAAAAAGTTGTTAATTCAACAGTTGTGTTTCATAACTACTTTACTACGTTGTAACTTAGCCAATGGATCCACAAGAATTCTTCCATCTTTCCTACCAACAAAGACTTAGAGCAAATGCATGGATTTGACATTTGAACATTTTAAAATGCATAGGGACAAATTTATGAGGATGTAAATGACATGATAATATCAGCTATACTTAACTGAATGTACCTCCAATATGACTTTAGCTTCGTGATCAAATGTTTTGCAAAGAATTTCATAATTCTTTTCAACTCCAACCTGCACAAAATGGTAAAAATTACCCAAAACAATGTAGTCATGTATAACATAGCTATTATAAATGCAAATATAATCAACAACTCTTACCAATGGATCGACTCTGGAAGGTGAAATACTTGATACCACATATCTGCACAAAATTGGTACATGCTCATCATATGCAACCATATAAATTAAAAGAATAGTGTAATACCGAAACTAAACCAAAGCATTTTCGCATTTGCATAAATAGACACGCTCAAAGGTGACTTCATATTTCGATTTGATTGGCTCTTCATGAATAGGGCTGTACACTGCTATAATTAAAACCCTATATACATTTTAATTCCTAAAGCACATAAATTGGTATTTCATCCATAATTGATGCTCAATCTTTCATTAAGGTCCTGAATTTTATTTTTTGATGCATCTCTGCAGCCCAAAGAAGAGAAGAGCCTTACTAATACAAAGCATACAAATCATAAAAAGGGTTCGGTCAAAATTCAAGGGAAAAAAGAAACCACTTTATAGTTTTCCTTTTTTTTTTTTTTTTAAACTTTATCATCAGTTGATAGTCTAGGTTTGTCACTTTTGGCAACAGAATTATTACAGACTGCAGCCAAGCAAGGCAACGGACGTGACAACCTTATTCTAGGGTATCAAAGGGGATTCTAGATGCAGCAATAATTAGATTCCTGATAAGCCTGTTAACAGGACTGCTTATAGAAACCAAAGTCTTAGCATGGATTTATGGAACTGTTTCATTATTTTAGCTTGCTTTATTTCAATTTAATTCTTTGTTTAAGTTTCACCAAGTTGTTCTATATCCTTTTTCCCCTTCCTTATTCCTACTTTGGCCTTTTGTATGATGCTCATATCATTAGCCTTGCAGCAGACAACACTACTAAACAACAAGTGTAAAACAGGAATGTTGAGATTATATTAAACAAGTAGGGATTGCTCTAAGTAAACAGTTAAAATTTTACCTTAGCTTGCTTATATAAAACTTCATGGCTAAAGAGTTTGATTTTTGAACAGTTAACACCACTGCACCCATGCGGTTCTAGGAGAAAGATGAAACACAAGGCAAAGAATCACATCTTAGAACTTTAAATTTAGCTTGATAATAAGAGTATAAAACAACTTGCAATAGCAGACATAATATTAAATCCTGCTAAACACAATGAAAATAGTAAAAACATTAAATTCAAGGGGCATTAGTAAAGAAGTGTAGAAACCTCCTGAGCGATAAGCTCAATCAATTGCATCAAGAATTTTCCAAGTCCTTTCCCTTGGACAGAGGAATCCAGCTGCAATTCGTATAAATAAAGAACCGGTATTTCTTCTTCCAGAGTGAAGCGGTAATGTAGGAAACCAAGCGAGGGAGTAGGGGAACTGTCCTTCATCATCTCATTGGCATTCCAATGTACAAATATATAGTGTGCTTCCGGAGCAACCATTTCCCTCCGTTTCACCTTCTCTTCTGCTGCCCACTCGAATCCATACAGGCCCTCCATATTCGCCTGTTGAAGCTTTCAATTAAAACGGAAAAATCCAATTGAAAATTTGCAATTTAACATTGTTACCTTCAGGAGGTTTTGAATGCATTGTTTCATACAATGGGAGAGCTTATCTCCACGCCCCGATTCCAAGCGTAAACAAAGGCCTAGTAGTGATTTGATCAATGTTGTCAATTTTTTTCATAAATGATAAACAATTTTATTTATTTGAAAATAAATAAAAAAAGGGTATTACCATTTCTGTTGAAATAGCGAAAGGAAGGGAAAGAAGCAAGATGGTCAATTGGAGCAGAAGCGGCTTTGATGAGTTGATCAATTGCCTTCTTTTTCTCTAGTATCTATTCAATGAAAACCCAAAAGCCAAAAGAAAAAAAATTCCCTCCATTGTTTTTATTATAAATATTTAAAAAAGGATCCTACTTTGCTATCGAAAGGAGAAATAAAATCCCCTGAGTTATAATTTTACCTCTCTGCGTTTCAGCTTCTTTTTCTCACTCACTCTGCTAGACTCCATGTCTGCCTATTACTGATGTGCACAGTTTGGAAACATAAATTAGAAATTTATATAATTGAAAAAAATCAGACAATCTATAAGTTTCAAGACTTCTTATCAAGGTTGTTAATCTCATACCAAACAATGTTTTGGTTTTCTTAAAAAAAATTATATACACTGGTAACAATTGTTTGGGCATATCGTTACAGATTTTTCAATTCACTAAAAAAAATATTGGTAAATACACATGTGTTCTTGTATATTTTTCGGTTAAGTACAAAATAGACAATGAAAGCAACCTAAAGCACTACATGCATCCAAATAGTACTTAAACGAAATAAAATAAAAAATAAAAATAAAACACAGCATTTCATCCATATTTGATGTCATCAAAGATCCCAAGTAAAGAAGCCCCCCCTTGATATACTATGATCACAACCTACCATATAGCAAGATATCAAACTTAAAACCACCAATTTCAAGGAAGCACAACAAAAATCAGCTTACCTATTCCAAATTGAGACCTTAAAACAATAATTTTACACCCAAGTCGCACAGTCCATTCTTAAGATGGATCTATTCTTTAAGGATTACGTCATTTATTATGATAAATAAATAGTAAACCACTTGAAACACCTAGATTATTTAGCAAAAGATCCCCAAAAGACATTTAAATAGATTAATGATGCATTTAAATTTTCTATGTTACAAATATTTACTTATCCCTGCACTAGACAGCAAGCACTGAAGATGATTTAAAGAAAAAAACTTATCTTTTTTATTTAATTTTTATTCTCTTCCATCGATTACTTAGAAGAAGGAAAGGGGAAATTAGAAAGATGGCTTACCCAAATAAAAAGGGAAAGCTCCCGTAAGCTTTGAAATGGAGAGGGAAAATGAATGACAATGGGAACCAATAAGGAGAAGAGAAGCGTCAGCCTCAGCTGTTGGAGAAGAACCTGCCTGGTCAATTGGAAACAAGAGAAGAAAAAAGAAGAAAACAATCGAGCCCCTTCCTCCTCTTCCTTCTTCGTTTTCTTTTTCTTCTTCCTTCTTTCTTCCTCTTTCCTCTTTGTTTTTGTCCTTAGATTGCCCGATGTCGAAAAAACAGCCGATGGATTTTAGAAAGTAACAAAAGAGTGTAAAAAGAACTCATCTCATAAAGGAGCAAAAGCTTGAAATTATTTTGCAGCAGATGAAACGAGCACCAAACAGAACACCAAAACTCTTCCCTTACGGCGTCGTTTTTTATGCTTTGTAATTTGTATATAAGGAATTAATCGGCCAAGGCTGAGATTATTTTTGTTTGTTATTAAAATTAAATTTGTAATTTAATTGATTAAAATTTATTTTTTTTAAAAAGGTTTTGGATTTGAATCTTATTAATAATTATTTATTAAAATTATTTCGAATGTATTACTTATAATTATTTATTTTAAATTATCACATATAATATATCTAATATTAATTTAAAAAATTAAATAATTTATCTACTTGAAATTTTTTATATAAAAAAAATTAAATTTGATGCTATACTCTTCCTAAGGTTGAATATTATCGTTTTACTTTAATTTTATTAAATTTTACCATTTAATTTGATAAGAAATATTCAAAATATTTCTTTTAAATAATTAAATAATAGATTAATGAAAAATATTAAAAATATTAAAAAAAAACTAACAAAATTTTTGTTGTCTTTGTTTTATTCTTCAACCTATTGCTGACGACTGACAAGTGATGACATTGGTCAAAACTTAGTAGTGATGGTTTAAAGCTAAATTTGGTTGCAAGGCAACAAGGGACGATTGGTATTGAAACAGGTGAGTTACCGAATGATATAAAATCGGTAAATTTAAATATGATAAGATGATATGATATAAAAATAATATAAATTAAAAAATATAAAAATAATATGATTTATAATTTTAAAAAAATCATAAATAAATTTAATAAAATTAAATAATTATATTTTATTTTTTCGAATCCACACGAATTATGACACGTAATTTTTATATAAAATATAATATAAATATAATATTTTATATGATATGATAATACGAATTACTAGATCTATAATGAAACAATTAAAGATAGTTTTGAAACTACTTGATAAGTTTACCATTTATATTTAATTATATTCATTTTTGGATTAATTAATATGGTATTGGAGTTATAATTTAATTACTACCAAATATTACATTTACTAATTAATTAACTAATCAATTATTATATTATAATTAAGTTATAATCACTTAATAATTGAGTAAGAAATTAAAATATAATTATACAATTAAACTCACACAATAAGTGTGGACACTCCATTTAGTCCAATGTTAATTTATATTTTAATATTAGACTTTGAATTTTTTGTTATTTATTTTTGTTAATTTGAGTGACAGTATTTTATTTAGTTTAGAATTACTATCACTAAAAACAAAAAGAAAAAAAAGGGGAAAGACTGGAACTTGAAGAAGGTTTAATTTTAATTGGATTGTTGAATTGAATATGTTTTAATTGAAAAAAAAATTGTAAAAAGAAATTAGTTTGAGAGATGGATTTGGATTAAAAATCCAAGGTTGAAGTTAATTAGGAGATTCAAACCCAAAAAACTCCTTTTTTCTATTGTAATTAGGATTAGAGGCCCATAAAAAAATTACATTATGATTAATTAGATACAATCAAGAATCAAGAGAAAAAAAGTAAAAATAAAGCAAAATAATTAAGAGTTTTTTATAATATTTTCTAGTGTTTAGGTTGAGATAATTATAATTTTCTTTTGTAAGTTTTGTGTTTGGAAAAGGAGTTAGAAGAAACACAATTACAATGACCCATGTGCTTTGGAATTAAGCATGACTCAATACTTGGTATTTACTTTTTTTTTTTGTATTTTTCTCAAGTTCTAGTTATATTTGTATTTTATCATAATTAACTATTTATTTATTTGTTTGTTTATTTGTCTATTTTATTTATTTCTATTTATGCATAATTTTTAGGAAAAATTAAAGTATTTACAAAAAATAAAACAAAATAAAACATTAATAATTTTTTTAGAATAAAGAATAATTATCCAATGATGAGTTTTTTTAGAAATTACAATATGGTTAATTATTTAATAAATCTCTAGGTGAGAAATTTCTCTAAATTCAACCCAAATACTAAAATAATTTAAATGAAATTTTAATAAAATAATTATATTTTCTCCAAACAAAAAAATTAAAAGTATAAAAATATAAAAATAAAACTTAAAAATTTGGTTGAAAATATTTGACAATTATCCAATAATGAAATCTTAAGAAAAATCCCAAATGATTGAATTTTCATAAGATTTTTAGGTGAAAAGTTTTTCTTTAATTCAACCCAAATGATGAAAGAATTTAAATAAGACTTTAAAAATATATTATCATATTATTTTCTTTCCAAAGATTAAGAAGCTAACAAGAGTTTAGATTCTAAATTTAACCAAAATAGTAAAAAATTTAGAAATTAAACTTGTACAAAATTTTTTGAAATAAATCCAAATGGTGTAAAATTTAGAAATAGAAATAAAAATAAAAAATAAATTCTGAGGATAAAATTCTTAGTAATCACAAATGGATGATTATCTAAGATATTTCTAGATGAGAAAATATTTTTAATTTTGGCCTAAATAATAGAATAATTAGAAATATTTTCAATAAAACAAAAATTTAACAAAAAAAAATTGATTAAGCTTTCCGATAATAGAGTCTCATCAAGAAAACAAATGAGGTTTTTGAATACTTTCGAGGTGAGAAAGTATTTTTAAAAATTTTACCATAATGATGAAAAATATTAAAAGTTATTTTAAATATTTAAATGTTAATAGAAGACCGTTAGAATCAGGACTTTAAAATAATTTAAAATAAAATAGTACCGTCCTTTATATGAGTATGTGGGAGTGCTATAACCTTCCCTATATGTAACCAAACTTTCGAATCTTGTTTTAATTAGTAGACTAGAACTTATTCTTTAGGGACCCTTAGTCAAGTTTAGGAGGTTCTTAAAATGGTAGATTCACTTAGGTGACTAATCATACCTAGATAAAAAGATTGGTAGCAACTCTTCTTGTTAAGTTTAGCTATAGATTTACGGATCTATATGTTATGATGGTTGACGACTCTATTGGGGACACTGAGAGTCAAGCCATTAATTAATTTTGAATTATCCTAATTTTTTGGTTTGCTTGGTATTAAATTATTGATAATTTTTGTTTGCATTTATTTTCATTCTTTTATTCTTTAACTTGGCTTGTGAAAATTACGAATAAAGATATATATATTCTTTTACACATATGCTGTCATATGCATGTGCATCGCATCACATGAGCTTTTTACCCAGGCTCTATCCTCTTTAGGAAAGAGTAAAGTATGTATGCTTTCATGAGATAATAATCTCCACAATGACTAGCGAAATACTCCAACTCAAATTGAATCATTTTCGTTTATAGCTTATAATGGATGAGAATTTGACTGTTACTAGTCTGCGATAGACAATGATGCGAGAACAATTTGGAAACCTTTAGATTTAACTCAAATCACATGTAGTAAACCATAAGAAGCCAACTTTAGGTTTGAGCCCCATCTACCTATCATTGGAATGTAACCTTAGTTAGGACATATAAATGGACCTTTTGAGCATTATTTATATCACCTTCATGACAAATATTGTTTGATCCTTATTTATTGTTAAATTGTTGTCTGTTATATCCTTAATCTAGTATCACTAACATATGTATTCATCTATACATCATAATGTGGCAAGTCAATACATGCATTCATATATTGTCTATACATTCATTCATTCATGCATATAAATTCCAAAAAAAGGTTAGATTAGTAACATGAGCATTCTAATTGTGTACATAAGATTTAAGGATAGTTCGACCGGTCAAGAATCTTGCTCAAACGACCCACCATCAATATAAGACTACAACTCAAGCAAGACAGATGAAATAAAAAAATACAAATTATCTGAAAAAAATAGAAAAAGCCCAAGAAAAACTTAGAAAGAAGTTGAGCAAAATTTTAAAAGCACTAAACAAGTTAAACAAAGGGAAGGCCATAGAAGAATATGCCAGCCCACAAAACCATCCATCACAGGATGTCGTTGATCCTTTTTATCCTCATAGTTATGGGTTGCATCAAATCCAGTTCACACAGGATGTACCATCATAGCAGTTCACATACCCTGTAAGGTATACATACCTCGAAATGCCATCGACTTAAAATCTAAGGCATTATTAGAGTTTTTATAAATCTTGTCATTACTGAGAAGGCAATAGAGCCAGTCAAACTCCATAACCTAGATAGTTTTGAGGAAAAAAAATTAAAAACGAAAGTAGTCAAGTCATTGGGGAACTCAATAGTTGACAAAAAGATGAATATGCTTGAAAAAAGGTTGCAAGTAGTGGAGAGAATTGGTTTTTATGGTTTCAAGGATGCTATTGGGCTCTGTTTAGTCTTAGACATCATTATTCCTTTAAAGTTCAAAGTATCAGAGTTCAAAAAATATGATAGTATAAAGTGTCTAATGACTCACATTACCATATATTGTTAAAAAATAATTGTCTATGCTAATAATAAAAAATTGTTAATGCATATATTCTAAGATAACCTTACTAGCTCTATTGTTAGATGGTATGTCTAGTTAAATAAGACCCAAGTTCACTTTTAGAGTGAGATGACCCACGACTTTATTAGTCAATACTGACATAATAGATCTAGCTCATGGTTGTCTTTTTTACAGAATATAGAGAAAAAGATGATTGAGTCATTTAAAGAGTATGCCAAAAGGTAGAGGGATATAACCATTCAAATTTAACCACCTTTGACTGAGAAAGAAACTACAATATTATTTGTAAGTATTTTAAAATCTCTTTACTGTGAAAAGATGATAGAAAATACAACAAAAAATTTCACTAGTATAGTGATTTTAGAAAAAATTATTAAAAATAATATCAAGAGTGATAAGCTTCAGGAAAAAAAGACCACAAGCATTAAGAAATGACGGTTACCTAAAAAGAAAAAAACTAAAGCCCAAACTATAAATTTTGATAGGTAATAATTCAGAAGCTATGCTCTATATCTACCACCTATCCATTCTGTTTATTACCCTACAGTTAATGGTATTGTGCAAATCCCTTACCAATTTGTTTCACAATCAGCTTACCCACCAATCTACCAACTAGCCTTTCAAATACTTGTATATGGATCTAGGCCTAACAACCAAGCAAACGATTTAATAAGATCTCAAAATAATTAAGAAAATACTTACATTGATCTTATCCCCATGACTTATA